TTGTTTTTCTGGTGCTGTGTGAAGTTGCTTAAATTCACTTAATAGTTCTAGCCTGTTGAAGAGATTTCCTGGGTTTTATAATAAGATAATCAGGCTGGGGATTTAGCTCACTGGTTCTGCTGCCTGCCTTGCAAGTGCAAAGTCTGGAGTTCGATCCCTGGTACCAAACAAAACAAATAAATAAGATAATAATGTTATATGACAAATAGTGAGGATTCTTTTTTGACCTCTAGGTCTTATATTTCTTTTTCTTTATTGAATTGACTAGGACCTGTAGAATTGGTTAAGAAAACATTCTACCCTTGTTGCTGTTGTCAGGGGAAAACAATTTGTTTCACCATTGGTGTGAGACTAGCTAGGTATTTTTGTAAGAGTCCTCTACCAGTTTGAGGAAGGTATTTCTTATGTGTAAGAGTTTCTGATCATGTTGAATTTTGTTACAGGCTTTTCTGTTTCTATCTAGATCTTTTTCAGATTTTTTTTTTATGTGAACTGTTTTGAATGGTAAACTATAATTTGTACTGTTGGAGTTGATTTGTTGGTTTTTTTTTTTTTAAAGGATTTTTATGTCTCTAAGAGGGATTTTGGTGTGTAGTTGTCTTGATTTGTAATGTTTTAGCTACGGGGATCAGGTTCATCCTGGTTATGAAAAAGTTGAAGACTTTTTCTGAGACATGATCTTGCTTTGTTGCCCAGAATGGCTGAGACGACCTGTGTGTGCCACCACTGTGCTGTCCTGAGGATTGTTTATTTGTATTAACAGCAGGCTCTTTATGCTTGAGAATCACTTGTGCTAGATAGAACATCCTGGGATCATATTTTGTCTTCTTGATTGCTACTTCGTTTTCTTTTGACATAAAAGCACTGCTGTTTTGTTTTTGTTTGTTTGTTTGTTTGTTTTTTATAATTGTTCTTTTCCTTTATAAATGAGTTGATTTTGACTTTTTCTCAAGGATTTTGTTTCTTTAAATTGTGTTTAGATTATGTCTTGGTATTGGTTTTTCTTGATTAATTTTTAAGTAAATAGGACAATATTCTTTATGTGTTTTCAAATCTTTTTTACTTGGAGTTGAGCAGATTTTGGTAAAAGGATACAAAAAAGGTGATTATGGTGATGCACTCCTGTAATTCCAGCTACTTGGGAGACTAAAACTTAGGACTACAAGTTTGAGGCCAGCCTGGGCAATTTAGGCCCCATCTCAAAATTAAATTTAGAACGGTTGGGGATGTAGCTCAATGAAAGTGTTCCTGGGTTCAGTCCTGAATATTGCATTAGAAAAAAAGAGCAGAAACAATTGTTTAAAATTTGACGAAGAATTCAAACAGGCATTTAAAGAAAATATATAAATGACAGCAAAGCACTTGAAAAGATGCTCAGCATCATCATTTGTTAGAGAAGTGGGCGTCAACATTACAGTGATATGCCTCTTCACATGCACCAGGTTAATCATGAACAACATTTCAGTTAGGTAGAATAAGTTCAAAAGTTCTATTGTGCAACATAGTGACAGTAGTAAAGAATGTTCTATAGTCTTGGAAATCCCTGAGAGGAATTTTTTTTTTTTGGTACTGGAGATAGAACTCGGGACTTTGTGCTTGAGAGGCAGGCGGTGGCACAACTAAACTAAATCACCGGACCCCTGAGAGGATTTTAATTAATTGTTAACACACACACAGCACAAATATATGATATATTACAAACCTTAATGTCATTTCACTTATATTTCATCAGAAAGAAACATTTAGTTCAGCTGTTGCACATGTAAATGCCCCTTAACCCCCACCCCCCTTTGGTACTGTGGATCAAACTCAGGACCTTGTTCTTGCGAGGCAGGGCAGTTGGAGCACCACTGAGCTAAATTCCCGGACAGGATCTCACTGTGTAGTTGAGACCGACCTGGACCTCACTGTTTAGTCCAGGCTGGTTTTGAACTCACAGGGATCCTCCTGCTTTAGCCTCCTGAGTGCTGGGATTACAGGCGTGTGCCACCACACCCGGTTTGGCTTGGCTTTTCTTTTCTTTTCTTTTTAATTAAAAATGATAACCTTCAGTGAGGGATCTGGTAGAGTCTAGCAGGAACTCTTCTAGTATGGCATTTGCATTTCCTTTTATGGCTATTTGTTTATTTATTTTGAGGTCTCATTATGCAGTTCAGGATGTCAACTCACTGTGTATCCCAGCTGGCCTTGAATTTGATCCTCCTGCCTCAACTTTCTAACTGCTGGGATTCCAGGTTTGTCCCCATGCTGGCCATTTTAATAACAGTCTTACTAATTTAAATCTCTACCACTGAGGCCCTATAAATCCTTGTTTGTATGTCATTGTTTTTGATACCCTGAGGTAAGAGTGCAGCTAGCTCCTGCCAGTCAAGAGTTGCTCAAAAAAAAAGAAAAAAAAAATTGAGCCAGGGATTTAGCCCAGTGCTTACACTGCCTGCCTTGCAAGTGCAAGGTCCCAAGTTCACTCACTGGTACCCCGCTGCAAAAAAGAGTTGCTCAGATTATCTCTAGGGGTTCCAGTCATTGTTTTTGTTTTTGTTAGTGCTGTTAGTTACACAATTACAGTAGTATTAAGTAATCTGTCCTAACATTCACCTCTCACCCTTTCCGGACCCATTTTTCCCTTCTAGTGTTGCAGAATTCAGGTTCTCAAGAATGTATATTTATGTTGTAGCAACTGTACTAAAAAGTGTCTTCCAGGGGAGGCTGGAATTTAAGCCTAAATTTAAGCTTTGCTATATTATTTCTGTTTTTGACCGACTTTATAAAGAGAGCACTATCTGTTATAGTAATTGAAATTCCATGTTTCAGATGGCAAGCTTCCTGCTTGCCATTTTATTTTTAAATTTTATTTATTTTTGTTTGTTTTGTTGACAGGGTCTATGTAGTTCAGATTGGCCTTGAACTCACTATGTAGCCCTTGCTGGCCCCAAACTCATAGTGATCCTTCCTGCCTCTGCCTCCTGTATGCTGGGATTATAGGCGTATGCCACCATGCCTGGCCATTGCCGTTTTAAAATACAGGGGAATATTCAACTAAAAATTTTGTTGTAGATTACTGGGGCAATATTTTGTGCATTAAACTGTCCTGTTTTGTTGGAGTACCCTAAGATTAGATGAATTGCTATGCAAAAGTGTAAGTGTATATTGAATGACATTTGCAGTAATAATATCTTCTGTTTTGTATTTTTGCCATTTACAGTACCATCATTTATTTAAAAAATAACATAATACTCAACCTCTCAAAAATGTAGAATAGTATATTATATTAGTTGCTGTGGACTAAAACATCAAATACAGAAAATTCCAGCCAGGCGTGGTGGTGCACGCCTGCAGTCGCAGCACTTGTGAGGCTGAGACAGGAGGATCATTGTGAGTTCGAGACCAGCCTGTACTACATAGTGAGTTTTGGTTAGTGAGACCCTGTCTCAAAAAACCAAAAAACAAACAAACAACAGAAAATTCCATAAGTTACTGCAGTCGAATAAGAATGTAGGTGTATATAACTTGTATAGAGTTATTGAAAGCGGGGTTCGCCTGCCCTTTCGGGTGCCCCTTCCCAATTAGGCCACTCACGCACCGAGAGGTCTGGCAGGAGATCTTTATTGTAGGGAGGCGAGCAGGAGGCAGGAAGGGGGGGGGAGAAGAAGCAGAAGGAGAGAGAAGAACAAAGAAAGGAAGGTCCTTTTATCAGTTTGGGGGTGGGCTATTGCTTATTTATGAGGAGTGAGTTACTTTTAACCTATCACAGGCCAGATTGCTTTTATGGGCCCCCTCCTGCAGACACAAGTTTCAACTTTCCTGGACCACTGTGGCCTTGTGGGGGAGGGAAACCAGAGATAAGGGCATGAGGTCATTTTAGGAGCCAAGATGTATCAGGAGAATGCAGCCTGTGAGGCGGCGTCACAGCATACTTTAACATGATCAATTCCCTAACAGTTATAGTTATGAAAATCTAATCCTTTTCAATCTGTTTCAGGTAGTCTCAAATCAGCAAGGAATTATAGGAAAATATTATAATAGTGTAAGAAAAAGACTCATGCAGTAGATAACTAGATTTTACAAATGAGAAAAATAGATGTATATATGGAGAGAAGATAGGATCGGGGGATATGGCTTAATGATAAAGTGCTTGCCTAGAAAATGTGAACCCCTGGATTAAATCCCCAGCACTGTAAAACAAAAAAATGGAGAGAAATATATGAGGCTAATGCATGGAACTGTATTGTTTTAGTCAATTACACTGCACGAATAGTATCGTCGTCTTGCCAGGGATTTAGCTCAGTGGTTCCGGCACCTGCCTTGCAAGCACAAGGGCCTGAGTTCGATCCCTGGCACCAAAAAAAAAAAAAAAAAAAAAAAAA